ATGGATGTCTATTCTATTAACATTTCTCTATCTTTATTAAGGGGACTGTTTATTTGCTGTCTTCTCACTTCAGAGGCCCCCTTCCTGTCTTTGCCCAGGGCCCCAAATTCCCTGAATCCCCCCCTGGATACGATGGTTCAAAGTGTATAAATAATTGTGCAATAGTTTGTTAAATCATCTTGATTCAAGTGTTGCCTTCCCTGTCCGTTAGAGTCCTTGACCTTTTAGGCAGGAGCTGAACTCTAACTAACTCTAGAAATCGAGCGCCTCTGGTTGAAAGCAGCTTCCAGTGTAAAAACACATCTTCTCCAGAATCTGTTTTTATTTGACATGTTTTAAATAATGTAATTTATCTATAAACCGAGTCGCGCCGTCTCCAAGTATTTTTGATTTTGAGCTAAAACAGAATAAACTATTAAGCAACCAAAGGCACACTATCAGTAGCTGCGATTCAGACACTCGCTTCAACACCATTTTCCTATTTTCTGTGTTTTTGAACTGGAAGTAAAAGCACTGATATCCAAACTAGTCCTCATCTGTGTTGTGCTGCAGCCTCTTAATGGATTGAAGGTGCTCTATAATCACAGCGGCTGGCTCTGAAGGAGGATGGGGGTTGAGGGATTAAGAAACCGGCTGAGTTTTCTCTAATTTAGTGGGAAAAAGATGGAGCCTCTCTGTAATCTAGGATATACGTGAGCGATATTAGATTTCCTTAAGAAGGCTGCATTTCTGCCCTTTCAGGGTTAGCCTCTGCTGCAAATGTGTTAAAATCTTTACATGCTGCTAACTGGATGTTTTTCTCATCTCTGAAACGGAAACATCATTGCTCAACAAAAAGTCTTTCCTGTATTTCTTTCTTTCGTTTTGTATCTCTTCTTCTTATCAATGGATTGGGAGGCTAAGGCGTTTTCTTTGTGTGACATTCCTTTGTGTGTAGAGAGAGAGAGAGAGAGAGTTTGGGAGGGCGAGAAAGCCTCACTGTGAGTGGAGGAGCCAGATTTTTTCTTCATGCATAACAATCCCCATTAAAAACACTGATGTCCTCATATACCCCGTTGCTGCTGCCGCATTCTCGCTGGATGTTAAATTGATATGTTGGTTTGTGGGACACACAAGACGGGAGGGAATTCCGCTTTCTTTGTCCAGCAACAGGATTGTCATGGCAGGGGTCCGTGCTTTCACGCACAGAGCACAATCATTTCCATGTGAATAGAAAGCAATATCGTAGATGCATATGATCTCACCCAGGGACCCAAACAGGAATGGACTCTGTGCGTTTGGCTGTAATGTTGGTGATTAAAACTCTGGGCTTTGCCAGTGGATTGGAGCAGAGCGGGTCTCCTTTGATACCTCCACCGTCACGTTTCTGCTCAGCACCACACCCTGCAGCTTCCACGCTTGTGCAGCAGCAGCAGCATGCATTGTCAGTGAACTGTAGGCTCCAGCGTTTTCTGCTGGTTTCTTGTTCTATCAAGGGCGGTTTATATAAGTTGCCAATGGGATCTTCTCCGTTTCATGGTCGTCTGTGACTCATGTCTGCATACTTCCCTTTCACAGAACCGCAATCTTTAATTTCTTGATTAAAACCAATCTTCTCGCAGACAGATCTAGCTTCTATCAGATCCTCCTTCTGTGATGTTGTCCTGGACTTTTCATAAATCTAGGATTGAAAGAAGTCTGCGAGGACAGTCGTGATCTGAAAATGAAACCCAAGTAGTTCTACGTGGCGTTCCTCCATGCAGCCTTTTTTCCTTGTTTTTCAGCCTCATTTGATTGTTTGCAGAATTCCTGACTCACTTTAACCGTTTTCTACTGTGTGCACCTGCTCTGCACTTGTTTGCACACCATTAATTTAGCAACACTGCTTTGTGAGTGTCTTTGTTCAGATAAGGTCTGTAAGGGAACAATGCTTAAAGGAAAAGTCCAGCCAGCGCAGAATGATCAATGGATCATTATTTATACCTAAAACGTATACGTTTGCAGTGATTTAATGAATTTAGCGTTAATCAGTTAAAAAATAAAAACAACATTGCCATCACTGAGTCAGGGAGCGGCCATTTTTGTCCCAATATAGTAACCCCTCCCTCCTGCCATCTTCCTGCAGTGACGTCACGGTGCGGTAATCCTAGCGCCATTCTCCCCGCTTTACAAGCTAAATCAATGGGAACTACTAGACACATCTGCAATCA